TTTGCCAGCTGGGTGGCGGTGGAGCTCTGACTTCCAGTTTTGCCTGGCTTTGCTAAGGATGGATGGGTGTTCCAAAAAAAAAACATGTCCAAGTGCCAGACGCTCATATCTCTTGAACTCATTTCCACTCTCAACCTAAAAAGCCATTTGTTGGCTGTTTTGTTGACAAGCTCATCCTTTGCACTGGAGGAAAGCCAGAACTCACCCATGCTTACAAATAAATAATAGACAGTCATGGAATGGAAGCTGTCTCCATAGCTAGTTATAACTACTGTTGTCAAAGGAAGGCTTCACAAGTCCATTTCTTCTGGCAGAGCCTCAAACCTGAAACCCAACCAAGGCAGCCATTGTTGACTGTTTTTTGTCCATCCTGACTCTCTACACTGGATACTGTCCTGTCTCAATAGTCACTCATTCATGGCTTGCCCACTCAGGAGTCATGACAGAGGCTCTTTTAAAACTGATGTTGAGAAGAGAGCTCCCTCAGACCAGAATACCCAAAGGAGAGCCTTATCCTTTCTCTCTGTGTGTGTATGTGTGAGTGTCCACTCCTGCCCCAGCCTGGACAGACTTTGGAGTTTTACTCCAGGTTCCTTTGTTAAGTGTGAGACAATGAGTGACAAGGAGCAGACAGGGCTGGTTCAATACATTTTGCAGCCTGAGGCAAAGCATGGCTCCCCCTCTCATTCCAACTACAGAAACTGACTGGACTGGCAGCTGAACTTTACTCCAGTGCTGGCAAAGGGACAACATCTTTCACCATAACTAATGGCAGGAGGCTGGATAAGGGGAGGACAGGGCAGGCGGCACAGCACACATAATTCTGTCTACTAACACCTTGTTGCTGTTCCCCATCCCAGCTTCTGTTGCCCACAGCAGCTGCCTCAGCCTGCCTCATGATAGAGCTGGCACCAAAGAGCCAAGTCTTCTTCATTATGCCTCCCTCTCCCACTGAAACATTTTGATAGTTCTTTCAGGACTTTTTTTTTTAAGGCTGGCAAATGTTTCTTTATTTAGAAGTCTAAGCTGCCTTCCAGCATATACTGTTCTTACAGACATGGCAGCACACAACATACTATAACGAAAACATATTACTATATAAAACCATCCAATTAAAGCCTACATGATTAAAGCCGTCCAATAAAAAACAATGATTGTTGTCTTTAGGGTTGCCACTTACACATTGTCAAAACAGAGAAAATGCATCACCAAGGCCTCGCCTGCATTATACATTTCAAGCATTACGGCTTCCACCAAAGAATCCTGGCAGCTGTAGTTTGTTAAAGGAGCCGAGAGTTGTTAGGAGACCCCTATCCTTCTCATAAAGCTACAACTCTCAGAGTGGTTTAACAATCAGTCCTGCTTCCCAGGGACTTCTGAGAACTGTATTTCTCTGAGTAGAATCAGGATCTCCTGACAACTCTTAGCACCCTTAACAAACTAGAGCTCCCAGGATTCTCTGGGGTGAAGCTATGACTATTTAGAGTGGTATGCTGCTGCTTTAGACATATAGTGCAGATGGGAACCAACAAAATAAAATAAAAATTGCCTTAAAATGTGCATATGCAGATTTTTATGGCTAGATGCAGATTTAGACATGATTACTGCAACTTCAGCAGAAATGCAGTGCATCTCTACATAACGAAGAAGATGACCACGTGATTTCTGTGCATATTCAGTCTGTTATCCAGGTGCTAACTATTGCTGGGACAACCTCAGCTTTCCTCACTCTCCCGCCTTATTTATCTTTAACCCAGACAGCCCTTTAAAGAGAGAACTCCTTCAGAGGCTGGGCTCCAGCAGCTCTTCAAATAGAGGACCAGAGGCACCATGTTCTCTAGTTGATTGAGGGGGTCTGGTGTGACATCATGAGCAGCCAGGGGGTGGAGCCAAACACCCTGTGAACATTGAGGAAGTCCAGCCCCCTCAAAAAAAAATACTGGGGATCTGCAACTGCCGGAGCCCCTGGGAGCAGGCGCCTATGTAGAGGACTGACCTTTGTAAAATAGGAAACATGGCCAACGTAATTGCATTGTTCTTAGGCTGCTTGGAATATGATCTCTTTGGATATGCTTTTGATACCACTAGTGTATATTGTTGGCTGGTCTAGCATGAAACTCATATTAAATCGATAAAATAAATAGTAAACACATAAATCAATTTCTCTGGGCAGACACAAAAGGGCTGCTGGTCAATCACTTCAGCGGAGAATGAGAGACTCCAGCTGAGGCCAACAGCTCAAAACATGAAGTGCAAAAGAAGGGAAAAAAGCTTCCATTATTCATGACTGGTTCCGCAGAAGTTTATTCCAAGTGAGAGGGTGCCTACTCCACAATGTTCGCGTTGAGAGCCCTAAAGAACTCCAAGCAAAGCTCAATTACTCATAAAGAGCAAGTAGGAAATAAATGGTCTACACAACAACTAGGTAATCCGAAAAGACACAAGCACAGCAGGAAATGACTGGGAAAACCAGAAGGCCAGCTTCACCGGAGGCAAACATCATATACTTAAACTTTTGGAAGTGCTCGGAAGAAGCTTGATCCTCCTCCCATCAGAATCAATTAGGACCACATCCCATAAACAAGTGCACACCCATTCCAAAGCTTGCTTAGAAGTCTAACCATTTCAGTCAGATGAAGAGTGAGGTTAATCATCCACGGGCATCGGGTTATCAGGAAAGCAAGCCCTGGGCAGTCCCTCCAAGCCAGGCTCAGCCTGGTGCTGACAATCTTGTTTTCCTCATCTAGGTTGAGGATGAGAGCAATAGCGGGAGCACCAGAGGCCACTTCTGAGCTGGCAGAGTCACAAATTGTAGGCACAAGAGCCCATTTGTTCAAGGGGTTGGAATCCTGGGGTCACTGGGATATTATATTGACTTTCCAAACACAAATTGGCTCATAAATGTGTAACTGGATGTGTACTGGGACCACTCAAGGCTAGTGCCTTTGAGTGTCACTGCTGTGTGGTTGTAGTCATTCTGCCCTATTCTCCAGACCCTCACCAAAAAAATCTGACTAGCTACTCCAACCTTGTCCTCTGGGCTCTCCGCAGTCCATGACCTTGTCTGATCTCTAGACAGAAATCTATTAGACCTTTTTTCTGACTCCAGAACATCCCTTTCATCTTGGCACATGAACCAATGGTCCAATATGCCTAGGCTATAGCTTCTGGACACAGGAAAGCATGATCCTCTGCACTTCTGCCCAGGATACTGAATCAATAGTGAGAGGGGTATGAAATTTCCCAGATTCTGGTTTCATCCTGCCTACCCAAGCAAATCATTGGCACTCCCTGAGAGAGAAGTTTCCAGGTGAGACCAGGTGTATTCTTCCATTGTCACCTGAGACAGACAGATGCCAACTCACCAATTTGTGAAGAAGTACTTCATTTTTTCTGTCTTGAATCTCCCATCATTCAGGTTCATTCAAGTGTCATAAGAGAGGAAGAAAAGAAACCCCTTTCTCTGTCCACGTTTCTCTACACCATGCATCTCACACCTTACTTGACTTTTCTCTAGACCAAAAAAATTACCTTGGGTTGTGAAGGGGAAAGTGCACGAGGTCCATGAGAAAGGAAGTCAGATGTGAAGCCTCTGCAGACAGGCTAGGAATCCATCCTTTGTCCTCACCTGTCAAATTCTTACCTCTGCTGAATGCCAGAAAGCACCTCTTGAAGGTCTAGCCTTGGCACCATTCAGGGCAATTATAGACAAATTCTGAAGGAAGCACCTGTGCTAATTCCAGAAGACATGGATGGAGCAGTGTCTGGTGGCTCTGTTTACCTTTGGCTGAAATGAACATTGGATGTGTTGGTGGATGAAACAACACACACAAAAACACAAACAAAACCAAGGAGTGCCTGGAAAATATGGGTCAATATTTGACCTGATGTTTAATTTAGACTCAGTTACAACATGTGCCTCTATATTTGAAAGGCAGGGTCAAACGAGCTAGCCAAGCACACTGGTTAACTCCGGGTGCATTTCAAAAAGCTGGTGCATCTCCTCTTGTTGGGTTTGCCTTCTCAAACAGGCACCCAGCACCTCTTCTAAGCTGTGCTCCTCAAACAGTGAACTCTGTGGTGCTGCTGAACACTTTCCCCAGACTCTGAGGCCCAAGACCCCACCATATTGGCTTGATGAGCTCAGCACATGTGCTTAATGCTCCTAAAACACAACATGTGAAGACATAAATCTCAACGCCCACTCTGTCAGCACAAGTTGCAACCACGAGGCCTTGCTTCTAGGGGGGTTCCTCCCCCATCCAGAGAGCCACACGCAACCATATACTTATCTCTTCCCCTCAGGGAAGGCACAGAAAACATGAGTGGCTAAGCCACCCCCTCCCCGGTTGTTCAGACACACCCAGGGGTTGGGGCGATGCTATCTACCTCCTCATCTCCAGGGGGCTGGATCTGAAGAGATTTCTATCTCTGCCACTATACGTCTGAGCAGAAGCAATACACCCTGTGTGATTTGGCAACCATGATGTGGCTGCCACAGACAAAGGTAACGTGAAGCAAATGGCTGATCATTTTCGGGGTGGGGTGGGGTGGGGGCATTCCTCCATTTCACAGCCTTTGAAACGCTTGGCCATCTAATAATAACACCATGGAATGGAACAGATCGATTAGTTTAATTATCCTTCAGGAATCTGCTTGCTCGGCAGCTTGCTATCATTTTCTTAAGGTTGCTTTGCTATTCTGCATTAGATGCAGCCATTAATTTAAGCACGAGCCAAGTAGCCATAGGGGACAAGGAATCCAATGCAGGCTTGTGGGGGAGAGACAGAGGCTTCATCCCACCTTGCATTGGTTATGTTCCAGGAAGTGAAAGGTGGGTTAAGCCTTTTATCACTTAGCACTTACTCAAGAGAGCAGGGTTGAAAGTGCGCTGTATTCTCAACAAACCAAGGTCAGACACAGGGAGGAAGAGCCAGGGCAACAGAGAGATTCCCCTTGCTCTGACAAGAGAATGGAGTAATAATGGGCCTTTCATGTCTATTTGTGACATAATAGCATAGTGGGGGGGGGGAGCGTCACAGAACGAGGAAAAGAATCAAGCAGAGTAGGTACTTCTTTCTTTTTTCTTTTATGGGATCCCTACTTCATGCTTCCAGTTCAAATGGCAACACTTCCTGTTTAAATTGTTTACATTTCTAATTAAATGCTAAAAGTTGCATTGCAGCTGCATGAAGATCTGTTGTTGTTGTTATAAGAAGAAGAAAAACACCTCAATGAGTTTTACACGTTGAACCATTGCAGTCAGAAAAGAAACACCATTCAGTTCAATGGCACTTACTTGAATACTTAGGACTACAGTCATGCCATATGGTTGGTCAGGGATGTGAACCCAGGTATGTCCAGCCAAATTCCAACATGCTGATTGTCACACCACATTCAGCCAGCTCACTTTTCCATTACTATTAGCTGTTCCTAATAAGCTGGGTATTATGGTATATATTGCTACTGTTAGTGGATATGTATCTTTGTATATAGCTATTTGTCTATCATGGCAACATAGATGCCTGCATTTTTGAATTATCCTTGGAGGTGTGGCTATGGAGGCTGTCATAATAAGGTCCTGAACTTCTAAATTTACCACTACAGTGCTGCGGAAGCGTGTGTTTGCCTCATTTCTGTGTAATCACAACCAGCACCTACACATCTGAGATTACATAATAGTAATAATAATAATAATAATAATAATAATAAAAGAACTGGGGCTTTGGGAATAAGTCACCACTTGCTTACGCATTTTGAGCCTTTAGCGGAAACTGACTGCATATTCCCCACATTTTCCTCCTTGCCTCAGTGAGGGCTGGAAACTTTGCTTTCTTGTCATTTCTAAAAATATGTTGACCCCAAGCAATCCAGACTGAGTGTTGTGATATACAGTACAGTGGTACCTCTAGATGCGAACGGGATCTGTTCCGGAGCCCTGTTCGCATCTAGAAGCAAATGTAACCAGCGATGGCACGTCTGCGCACGCGCACGTCACTTTTCACCGCTTCTGCGCATGCGCATGATGTCATTTTGAGCGCCTGCGCATGCGCTAGCGGCGAAACCCAGAAGTAACGCGCTCCGTTACTTCCGGGTTGCCGCGGAACGCAACTCGAACACGCTCATCCCGAAGCACATTCAACCCGAGGTATGACTGTACAAGGAAGCAAGACTGCATACACATATGTACACACAGAAGCCCTGAACTTTTGTATTCTTCATTTGATTTGTTCTAGGGTGGAGGCACATTGACAGTCCGGATTTCCAGCAGATGTCACTACCGTCATCCTTGCCTGTGGGGTTGTGTTGATTCCTAAACAGCTCACACAGAGGCATCAGCTGTTTGTTCACACAGTCCTGCATCACTTGCCTCTCCTTCTGTAATGACAACCTGCCCAACTCCAGCTCCTTTCATCTCTGAATTTTAAAGTGTGTTTTAAGCCCTCATTAAATCTCACTACACCCAATGTGAAGGAGGTGTTAAGTGTTATTAACTGCATTGTACACAGAGGGAAACTGAGGCACAGAGCGGTCAGACAACTTGCCTGCAGTCACAGAGGAAGTATGTGACAAAGCCATTAATAGAACCTGCGACTGCTGGATCACCACCTCCCTTTTTAGCTTTGACCATTCCAATAAATACCAGAATGATGCACATCAAAGCAATAAACTGTGATGTCTCATGGTTTGCCCTAGCCTCGCCTCCTCATCTTTCAAATGCCATATAGGTGAATGGTACATTTGATGAACTTATCTTTCAGCGGGTGATGCTATCATTGTCTTGCTTGGGCAAAAATGTTTAGTTCGGGCATGGGGGACCTGTAGCCGTCTGGAGGTTGCTAGACCACAGTTCCCTTTATCCCTTACTATTGGGCATGTTAGTTGGAGTCCAATAAGATCTGGGGCCTCACAGATTCCCCACACCTGCTTTATATTGCAGGGCATTTTGAACAAGAACGTCTGGAAATCATAGAATCATATAACTGCAGAGCTGGAAGAGACCATGAGGGTCATCTAGTCCAACTCCTTGCAATGCAGGAATCTTTTGCCCAACATGGGGCTTGAACCCACAACCCTGAGATTAAGTCACATGCTCCACTGACTGAGAATATTGCAAATTTACAACCCACTCTATTTCAAGGGCTCAGGTCTGTGGCAGGCATTTTAGCGAAGAAAGGTTCAAGCAATATTATGCGTTTGTATCACGTTGATGGTAAATTATTATTATTAATTGAATTCATACCTTCCCTTCCTCTTCAAGGAGCCCAGGGTGCTTCTTGTTTATCATTACATGAATGAGCCTCATGAACATTTTTTCCTCTCTCTCCTTCTCCAGCACAGCTGTAAAAAGATTGGAACCTTTGACGTCTGTTGTTAGTTAACCGCAGTTTAGGGTTACATCTGAACCTGAAAAGGTGATTTATCTTAACTGTGGTTTACTGAAACAAGCCAACTTTATAAACCACACAGCGGTTTATGAATTCTCACACCCAGACAGAATGCTAACAGTGGTTAGTTTAAAAATGGAGTGAAATCTTCTAATATGCTAATGGCCACACCAGAGAAGCAGAAAAGAGGGAGGAAGTGGTAAGCCTAAGGCTTGTTCATGTAATGATAAACCATAGGAAACCAAATGCAGCCATTATCTTGAGGCAGACTCAGAATGCATATACCAGAGTATCTTGTTAGTTAGTCTGAGGTAACTATATTAGCCAAGCTGAATGGCTTAAAAGACACTTGAGAATACACTCGGTTCAGTGGGAGATTCTCTGATATCCACCCTTCTGCTGACATCATTTGGCATTATAAAACAGGTCACCAGTGCCAAATTGTAAATGCATGAGCCACATACGATTTATTTATAGAATTTACATCCCGCCTTTTGCTGCAAGCAGCTTTGAGGCAGATTTCATCTATCGTAGAATAATGAAATTAATTTTAAAAAACAAATACTAAACAGCAGTAAAACTACAAAGTAAAACCAACAGAGGCAGCAGCAGCTAAAAACCATTAAAAGGATCTCAAATTCCATTAAGTCCATATGAGAGAATGGAACCGGGATTTCAGCTGGTGCCTAAAAGATAACAAAGATGGCACCAGGTGAACCCATCTAGGAAAAGGGATCAAGAATTGGGGTGCCACCACAGAAAAGACACTTCTCTTTCGCTCCTTCTCAAAAACGAACAAATTAAATAAATTTAAATAAATAGTTATTTCCCCATGCAATTTTCACATGTGTTTTTGGTAGGTAAATTTGTTTTAGAATTACTGGTTTCATTTAATAGTTTAAAATGCTTTTGTGACTTGTTTGCTTTTATTGGTATTCTGCAATGAATATTTTAGATTGCCTTTTGTGAACCACTTCCAGGTTTTTTGTTTGAGTAAGCGGTATATAAAATTTTGTTAAACTAGCACTTCTACCTTTTACTGGGGTGGTTTTTTTTGGGGGGTGAGGGGGTAAATTTGTCTAGAAGCATTTGCTAAGGAGCAATATAGACACTATATGCACCCACCCACCCACGTTATTCAAAGTTATTCAAATCCAGTGCATTCCAACAACTGTGGAATATTCAACATGGTTCGCAAAGGATACAGGCTTCCTATGCACCATTTTAAAGCTCATGGAATCCTGTGAAGAGTAGTAAGTTCAGGATGCTGAGAACTAGAATTCTGTGAGGGGCAAACTACAGTTCCCAAGATTTGGAGGGGGAGGCATGTGCTTTAAATGTATGGTGTGTACACAGCCACATAAACCCCATTCATCTTAAGCACTAATGAAGAGCAAGTATCCTTCTCTTATCCCAGCTCAGCACGACATTTTAGGCATGAGCTTTGGCCTGCTTTGCAGAGGAGCTTGAAGCGAGATTCCTCAAGAGTTCAACACCCAAAAATAGAAGCAGAATTTCAAAAAGGGTTCTTAGAGGACAGCACAATCTGGGGCTGGGGCTGCAAGTCAGGCTTTTCCTGGCTTCCTGTCCCACCCCACCCCCCACCCCCTCCTGCTCCAACACTGTTTTTTTCTTGGCTTTCGCACTATGACTTCTCTGTCTGCATGGGTGTAGCCATGGGGGGTGGGGCAGCTGCCCCCCAAGATCAAGTAAAACAATAGAAATACTTAACTGACCAATCACATCGGTTCTGCCCCCCCCCCAATCCTGCCTACGCCCATACCAGTCTGTACTGTGACATAAATGCCGGTCTTTCTCACTGTGCTTGAAGTGGGTGTACAAACACAGCCGAAAGACATTGGGAAGTGCTAAAACTCTTATAGTGTTGTTCTTTAAATGTGACGTAAGAAACTAGCTGATTGGGCGACAAGGCTTCTAGTCCTTTTTGTTCCCTGCTGTACGAGTGTTGCCTGGGTTTATTTGGTTGTATTATTTTACCTGAAGTAGCTTTCATAGAATAGAATCATAGAATCATAGAATCATAGAGTTGGAAGAGACCACAAGGGCCATCGAGTCCAACCCCCTGCCAAGCAGGAAACACCATCAGAGCACTCCTGACATATGGTTGTCAAGCCTCTGCTTAAAGACCTCCAAAGAAGGAGACTCCACCACACTCCTTGGCAGCAAATTCCACTGTCGAACAACTCTTACTGTCAGGAAGTTCTTCCTAATGTTTAGGTGGAATCTTCTTTCTTGTAGTTTGGATCCATTGCTCCGTGTCCGCTTCTCTGGAGCAGCAGAAAACAACCTTTCTCCCTCCTCTATGTGACATCCTTTTATATATTTGAACATGGCTATCATATCACCCCTTAAAGGTTAGAAAGCTAACCTTTAGCTTTCTAAAGTAAATATTTTGGGGAGGGACTGTGGGTCAGGGGCAGAGCTCTGCATTGTCAGAAGAACAGAAGAAGAGCCTGTTGGATCAGATTTGCATTGTAAATCTGAAACCTGTCATCCAAGTCCTTTGAAGGAAGGTTGAAGGAGTTTGGTATGCTGGAGAAGAGATAATTAAGAGGCAATAGAAGATAAGGACATAAGGAGAGCCATAAGGATCAAGTCAAAGGCCCATCTAGTCCAGCATCTTGTGGTCACAGGAGCCAACAAAGGTGTTATGGGAAGCCCAAAAAGAGGACCTGTGCACACAATTGCTCTCCCCACTTGTGATTCCCCAGCAAATGGAATTCAGAGACATACTGCCTCCGACAGTGGTCTAGAGCAGTGGTTCCCAACCTTTTTTTGGCCATGCCCCACCTAAGCATCTCTAAAATCCTGATGCACTCCCCCGCCTTGACATATAATTCTTATTATTCAAAAAGTGAACTACTAACGTGGAGGAAGCCTAAAAGGCCATTCACTGTCAATAACTCATTCTCAAAGTGCCCCCCCTTAAAAATCAAATTGCTCCCCTGTGGGGCATGTGTCCCACGTTGGGAACCGTGGGTCTAGAGTAGCCATTAATAGCTTTATCTGATAGCCTTGCCCTCCATGTTTTTGTCTCATCCTCTTTTAAAGTCATCCCAATTGGGGGCTTTGGGTTGGGAGCAAATTCCATAGTTTTAACTCTGCGCTGTGTGAAGAAGTACTTCAAATCTTCCCATGTTCAGCTCCATTGGGTGCCCCCAACTTCTAGTGTCATAAGGAAGGGAGAGCAACAAAAGTCCTGTATAACGTGAGGAGAAATAAACAGAGGGGTTTTGTCCTTCTTGCATCATGTTCATAACAGGGAGACATACAACTAAACATACAAAACTCCCTTCAGGCCTACACAGGCATCTCAGTGTGGATCATGGAACTCCAACTGGTTGCTAGGCAACACCTCTACACACACACACACCCCTTGCCTGGCTGTCAACAGGGTTAACCCTTAAGTCACTGACGGAATGATCCCTGCTGTTGTACTTCCAACATCCGCCAGCCACCAGCTTTTGAGAGTTCGTTTCTCTGTCCCTTCTCCAGCACCATCCAACAAACGGTTAAAAAAAAGAAACGTTGAAATATATTCGGCACAGCTCTACTTCATTTGGCTGGATGTACACATAGATTTGCATTCCACTGACAACTTATTTCAAGATTTTATTTCCACTGAGAGAGATATCAAAGATCAAAGCGAACGAATCAACAGCAACTTGCCTCGGAGGCATTGCTGTTCCCAAGGGTAGAAAACATCTGCAGCAAAAGAGCCGCCACTTGTGGAAACATGCATGGCGGAAAGAGAGGAAGCTCTGAGCTCATAACACTTGCAAAGGTGGGAAGGTTGTTGTAGTGCAATTAAACCAATCACACATGTAAGGCTTCTAGAAGAAACTGGTCCGCTAGTGACCAGAATGTTGGGAAAGGACCTGGGAAGACCAGGGTTCAAATCTCCATTCAGCCCTGAAGCTTGGTGTGTGACCTTCAGCCAGTCACAGTACCTCACAGGATTGTTGTGAGGGTAAAATGAAGAGGTGGTTGGAGAGCCATGTTTGCCACCTTGAGCTTCATGGAGGAAAGTGGAATATAAATGTAATGATGATTAATAATAATAATTTGTCATAACTTCTGAATCCAACATTAATCTAGAAGCAGAGGCTGAAGAAGCACCAGATTTGGAGCTAGATTGAGTCCTAGTCATTCAGGTGAGCTTCACAGGCCCTGCCCTGCATCACCACCCCTAACCTCCACCTGAAGTTCAGTTAGATAGTCTCACATGAAAGGG